TTCTCTCACATATCATAAAAACATCTCCCAGTTTAACACAGGAGTATCAATCGAAACGTTACACCACACCCTATACATATATTCATCTAAATGACTATGTCATCCCTTTGTGATCCATTGATGACTTTAATCCTGTTTTTTAACCTTCACCAAAACTCTTCGATAGAATAGGTGTGGATCCCTGTTCTTCGACGACAGCTGTATTTCTTTTTTAGTGAGACAATTTCATCTACATGTCCGATGACACCTTCTCCTCCCAATAAGGAAGTAAGCCTCTCCATCTTCCAGGATGCAATATCCCTGCAGTGCTGGTATCACTGAACTGTTGATTTGAGACTATTCTAAGTTTCAGCAGCTGTACCTCTCACAGACTGTTTTAAAACCCAGTAATTACAAATTTACAAAATCTGAGTTAAGGACAATTGGGACCTGGCAAAAAACGTTCTTACGAAATATTAGAATCATCAGCTTACCTTCCCTAACACTAAATCGTCTTTAAAAAACTGCACAACGATGGACATATCCACCAACCGACCTACTGAAGCTTTTTATACTCATGACATCTCCGCATGAACAAATCCCTTGTTTCTTCCAAGCCATACTGGAAGGCCTTATCCTCACCAAATCGCAAGAGCAACTGCGTTAGAGCAGGCATTTGTCTCGAATCAAGAGGAATAGAACCTTCAACTCACGTGAGCGAAATTTATTGGATGATTCAAGGTCATTCGCTGATTGGTAGTTAGTGGTGCTTAAAGTTTAACTTGGCCCATAGAGTGTTTACGAAATCATTAGTGATTTGAGCTAGTGAGTGAGTAGTTTGTATCGTTAGAAAGGTGTGTATATAGTCTGACACCTTAATCCTTATCGTCGGTCACCAGCCTAGTGAATTTACTATTTCAGTAAGGAAGGAGCTTAAGTCAATTTGCCTTTTAAGAGCTGAGCTACTCAATTCATATTCAACCTCGTTTAAGAGTGGGTCATGTACACTAGGAGTTTAGTCAATGGTGACGGATGCACTTCCTAACACTTATGCTAAAAGTGACATCAATCATTTATTTCACACAGTTTTTTCCCCTTTATGATTTTGAATAAAGCAAAAACAACGGTTTGTGCAGAATAAGATGGTACCATGATTTATTTCGTAGGCTTCTCATCAGCTGCGCATAGAACAATTTTAACCTATTTGCAAATGTTACACGATGTCGGCTGTCAGCAGACTCCAACCTGAAACCGTGCTCGGAAATTACACTTATATAGCACATGCATAGAAATTTCAAATTTAAACAAAAAAATAATAAAGGCTTGGTGAGTTCAAGTGAAATCAAAGAAACAAGGGACAGGTAGAGTTACACCATAGCAAAGGGGAAGAGGGGTTAAGGCTAAAGATTACGTGATAAAATAAAAGACAGAGTAAAAAGATTCAGTTAATACCGCAAAACAAGACTGATAACCACTATTTTCTGAGCAAATAAACTGAGTTTCAGGCGTTTGATAGCGTTTGCTTCGGAAAGTTTGATGACCAGTATTCTAAATCATGTGACCTTTTGGTGTATCCTATTCCATTAAAAACAATCAAAGTTACTCGATACTCGTTAATGAGATGCAATCAATTTGTGTGCATAATTCATCTATGGAGGATGTCATTCCTCATGTGAATAATTTAATGGTAAAAATTAGTTACTTATCGCCTTCATCTACGTTTAATGAGGAGGTCCACATTCGAGGCTTTCTCAGGCTTGTCTATGCATCACAATATTATGCTGTTTTTTTTAGCTAAATGCTTACATTACACATATACTGTGACTAGAAACCGATGCTTGGAATAGTCGTTTATGGCAAAACAATAAATTGAAAACCAGGTAGTACTGGACAACTGCTGTTTCATCCTAGTTTGGGAATCATCGGCAGTATGCACCCATTGGGATTCGAACCCAGGACCTTCCGGTTCGAACTAGGATGAAACAGCTGTCCAGTACTCCATGCTGGTTTTCAATGGTTCTCTAACTGATATCAGTCCATGATCAACTCGTAAAAACATGACTAACCCTTACAAACCAAACTATAGAAAAAAAAATTAATGTTTAGTTTAAATTACTGGTGTCTTGAGATTAAAGAAGAAAACGAATATCGATTAATATGCAGTAATGATAATTTCTGTGTATAAGGACAATTTCTTTGTGCGGTGAAATTCGTAAATTTTGAAATTACTTAGTTGAGGTGAAATTAATCCTGTGAACTATCAGTTTGCTAAACTAGCTAGCGAGAATTCAAGTGGTGTGAACTCATTCTGCTGAGCTAAGTCGATTCACGTATATCACTGATGAATTCTGCACCAAGAGATGCATTTTTCTACACTGTAAACTATTTCACTGATGTGCGCAACTATCACTCTACAATAATAATTTGGCAGACAGTTGAATTGAGGTACTACAAGCCTTCAGAAGTGTCTTACTAAGCAGCACTAATGAATATGAAACCTAACCTAGATAAGTTTAGTTGATATAACACGCATTCATACAGTATTAATAACTTGATGAGCCATTGAATCGGGTCCCAGTGGCTGAATGGTATACGAGCTTGCCTTGTAACCAGAAGGTCCTGGGTTCGAATCCCAGTAGGTGCGTACTGCCGATGATTCCCAAACTGTCCAGTTCTCCCTGGTTTTCAATGGTTCTCTAACTGATATCAATCCGTGATCAACTCGTAAAAAATTAACTAACCCTTACAAACCAAACCATAGAAAATAATCATATTCACTCGATTTGATAACTTGCTGTATATAGGTACTAATCCCTGCTGTTTTTTATTGCAATAATCCATATATCCAGTATAGGCATTGCATTATTTCATTTTCATGCGTTCGGTGCTGGTTCAGTGAACAAATGACAGTTCTTATAACTCACTATCCTAGAGTGATGAACGTTGGTTTCATTTATAGCAAAAAGTTGCGAAGGGAATAAAATGACGGCCTAATACCTTGTTGATAACCATAGTAAAGGTCTGCTTAGATCTCTGATACGAAAACCATAACTAGTGTAAGATGCTAGAGTATCAGAGTCAATCGAGTCGACAAATATTATTGTTATGTATCATTATTATTATTATTATTATTATTCACTCCTTGAGTTTTGAGCTTAACATAGAGATTTAACAGCATATTTACATTGTACTTTGTTCTCTACCATTATTTTCAGCTGGCTCCGTGACTACCTTCAGGCCTTTATTTAGTTCTAAAGTCCTCAGTGTATTGACGGAAAAACTGATGACCGTCTCTCTGAAAAAACTGAACTTAAAAGGAGTATTATCATCGGCCATGTATGAGTCCATGAAACCAATGGATACCAACACTGCAAGTCTTTACGGCTATTACCCCTCCCTTGGCCTATTAACACATAACCAATTGATGACTTCTCCACCACTCCTTACTTATTTTTTCAATCATCCTCTTATCATCCCTTAATCTTATCACATCTGTCCAGTACTCCCAGGTTTTCCAGTTATTCTCTAACTGACGTCAGCTCATGATGAAATCCTCCAACCAATCAAACAAAATCCCTACAAAACCAATACTTGAAAATATCACATCTTCATTAAAAGGTATTTTATTTACTTCCCTTACAATCTGACACTACGTAATCGGTTCATTTGTGTTTCTTAGCCTTTTTCCACTACTACGTCTACCTGAGCATTGGTTTGTTTAATCATGCTGTTTTTCATCATTCGTGTTATCACAGATTGCCTCACTTTTTCATCCTTATTATTGATAAAACCATTATTATTATTACTATTATGAATAGTTGCACAATTTGTATTCACCATCTTATTATCCTATAGAGAAAACACCATGATTGATTTATATTTGAATTTTTCTTTTTAAGGTCATGTATATTAGAGTTAAGTCTGATGCGATCTAATTGAAAACAATACTGTTTGTAAAAAATTATATTTGTAAAATCTCAGCGATATTGAAATGAGTAATTCCAACGTTTCGTTCGGCAATCTGGCGAACAAACGTTGGAATTACTCATTTCAATATCGCTGAGATTTTACAAATATAATTTTTTACAAATGTCTACTTCTCACTTGGCACCCAAATATTTTAGAACTATTCTGTCAAATCTTGACGACAGTTCTTTTGAATCAATACTGTTTGCTTAAATGCGTTGTTCTAAATTTTATTTCCTCTTCAAATGATCTCCTCTATGTCTTCCTAAGACACCCAACTGATTACTTCCCCTTCAGCTTCCACAAGAAGGTTTGACGTACATGTGGGGTGGCGAATTCCATCTGGTCCTCAGCTTTTAGTGATTTTATGACCTTCAAGACTTCTGCCTTTGTAGGACCTTTAGTGTTTGATGATGGGTATATGTCGACAAATATATATATATATATATAAACTATAAAATTAAAGTTAACCGTCAGCGTGTATAAATTCTTTATTGCTTCAGTAATTCACATCAGATATTGTTTGTAAAATCACACACACACACACACACACACAGACAGCACTGCTTTGCATGCCTCCGACTACTTGTGTTTATTTCAGTAGCAAAGCTCATTTCATCTGTTTATCATTGTTACTATTATTAATAATTTAACAGGCATTACACACAACATAACCCGTATAATATGAACTATAACCAACTGTTATGCATGTACAGTTCACCCTTAAACATGCAGCTGGTCAAATGATGCAATCGCTTTCCTGTTGAACATCACATTGTTTATCATATTTGTTAGTTTCTTTCTTTGGTACAAAAGATGTTTACCTGTTTCGACACATTCTTTTTCTTTACGTATTTCCGAATTTGAAGGTCATATGTTAAAATGTTTATCAGTCAAGCTGTCTACTGATATTTTCTATGTATTTATTGCTTAGCTACCAAGGTATCAGATGTCTGGTTGACACAGGTTTATCCAGCCAGTAATTATATGTGTGGAATTCATTGTGCAGATAAAACATGGACGCATTTATGAAAAAGTTTATTATAATTATTATTATTATTATTACTGTTAATACAATTCTGTTTTATGTATAAGAAATATATATGTATTTTTTAAAATCATAACTCAATTATTTTACTGATTTGAGGTGTCATTAATCTTTGCACCGACTGTCTTAATTACAAGATTGATGAAACGCTTGTCAGATACCATTTCATCGTGCAATACACCAGGTATAAGAATATGCTTACTGTTCGTCCAATTTCTGCATACACTTAAAGAGGCTAGATTCACTGTACCATCACCGTTTTCAAAAGTTGGTATTGGTGAATGATCGGGGAAGTTATCATGAAAGTAGACTATTTGTTTTACCGTTAATAGATCTGAACTGTGCACACACAATATTTCAGATACACCTTGTGGATCGTCAAGCATGTTTGAATTCTCTTTGGATGATTTCATCATTTGATATCCTAAAATTGGGAGAGGAAAAGAAAAACTGATGTATTGTTAGTTATCATTAAGCTACTGAGAAGTACTCATCACCTCACTGTGATATACTGACTAAACACAAAAGTGAGTAGGGTTTCAAATATGTTCTCACTGGTAATTCTATGCAGTCCGACAAATGATTCCATTTATAAATGAATATCAAGTATTTGTTTGGTAGGGATTTTGTTTAATTGCATGGAGGATTTCATCATGAGCTGACATCAGTTAGAGAACCACTGGAAAACCTGGGAGTACTGGACAGCTGTTTCGTCCTAGTTTGGGACTCGTGCATTGGCAGAAGTTAGAATTCAAGGACCATTGGACTGGGTCCCAGTGGCTCAATGGTCTACGAGCTCTCCTTGTAACCAGAAGGTCCTGGGTTCGAATCCCGGTGGGCGCGTACTGCTGAAGAGTCTCAAACTAGGATGAAACAGCTGTCCAGTACTCCCATGTTTTCCAGTGGTTCTCTAACTGATGTCAGCTCATGATGAAATCCTCCATGCAAATGAATATCAGTTTAACACCACCAGAAATACCCATCCAGAAATTCAGGATACAGTTGACAATTTCTAATTGTTCCATGAAAGCTATGATTGGAACTATACACAAAAGGCCAGTGTGCGTTTTCACATTGTGATTACAGAAAGGCATATACATCAATTTTGAGGATTGAAAATATTTCGTGTTCTTTCAGGCCTTAATATTCGATCACAAACGTTTCATTAACTGCATTAATGGGTTAGTCAGCCGCCTACCAAGTGACGTGTACAACCATTTAGAATTATAGCATAATAATAATATACGCATAATTAGAAACGTATGTTTAAATGGAATAAGTGAATAAAAACAGGTTCGATCATTCTGACGTTAACACTGTAATTTTAAACGTAACTCTAGCCCTAGCCAAGTTCTTTGACAACATACTAAACCCTGACCCAAAGTGAAAGAAATCAGAATCTAATTGCAGATTAACTCGTAAATAGAATGAATCCTGAAGGAGAAAAGTCATGATTAGTTACATTAGGTCACTGAGTAGGTCATTCGTTTGGTTTGTAACAATCTATGTTTACCCATTAACGAATTCATAAGCGCTTACATCACAGAGAAGCATAATATTTCCAGAGGAGTTAAACTATAGCAGCTACCCGGATCTATCTTGCCACAAACCCTGGGCAAATAATCAGAAGCAAGGAGCAATAAAAGTTGCAAAATAGTTTGAAAAATGACTACAGATTATGGTGTTCTAGGATCTCTTTCTATGTCTAATTAGGTTCTTTAATCCACCGCAAAATCCCAATCTTCTTAAAGGACATGCTAACTTGTCAGTCTTCTTTCGCATATATACGTTTTAGTAACCCCAGTTAGTCGATTATTCCCCAAATGGTTAAACACTCTATCTTTATGGAATTCATTCAGCAAATTCAGGACAGGAAGAATAATAGGACTTGGTAATACTACTTGTCAATTCAACTGCTTATCAAACATCATGTACCGAGATGGCTGCTAATGTTTAACTTCCCCATTTTTCCTGTTAAATAAACATTTATGTAAAACATATACTAACTTGTACTTTCCAGTCTTTCAACTATGAAACGTTTCGTCTTATTCTAATGTGTACATTATGTCTATTGGCCATGTACTTCCTCACCGCCTAATTGTTGGGGTTTCTAAGATCTGGTTTTGCATTTTTTCAGCCTGTTAACTATAGTGTTTCCACTTTTTCTAAACAAAATCTTTACTTAAGTTAATCTACTTGTATTTATGTCAGTAATGACGCTGCATATCATTTCCCTTTTGGAGGATACTCTTGATGAATAACTGACGCCGACGATCACTTTGTAATTACATTTTAACACTACACTCATTCTGTCTGCTTTTTTGGTAGTGCGTCTTTGAGTTTACACTAAGTGGTTACTTGTTTTCTCTATATGGAGTGTGGCCACTTGAACTGCTGCATATCGGTGCAAAGTTCTATGTCAAAAACAGACAGAGAGAGATATGCTATACACTATTTGAGTGGTCCTAGTTTGTTTAAATTTCTATTCAATTTCATATTAAATTTAGTTTGGGTTGTTTCTTCGAGTAATGCTATCTTGTCAAGGATCATTTATGCGACGTTTTAAAAGATTCTCAGTAAATCCACACAACGAAAAAAATGTCCAGCTTTGTCCATAGGTTCCCATTAAGATTGGTTACGGGATTTCATCATGAGCTGACATTGGTTAGAGAACCATTGGAAAATCAGCTGGGAGTACTGGACAGTTGTTTCGTCAGCCTAGTTTGGGGCTCTTCATCAGTACATACCCACCACAGGGGTTCGAACCCAGGACCTTCTGGTTACAAGGCTAGCGAGCTAGCTCGTAGACCATTAAGCCACTGGGACCCAATCCAATGGCCACTGCATGAATTCTGACTTCTGCCAATTCACGGTACAGCGCAACCGCTAGCCAATGTCTTCGGCGAGTATTTGTCCTCACACCTGAGCTGCTGCACCCTACTGGTCACAACTTCCCACTAGAACTTTAGGTAACTACCTACCCGAATGTCGCCAGTGAGATTAAGATTGCTTATCATCGAAGAATCCGTGAATGAAGGGTATAGGGCATAAACTGATAAGCAAAACTTAACTTTAAAAGAAGTCGAAGTCTGAAAACAAGAAAATCATATATATATATATATATATATATATATATATATATAAGTCGTGTCTACTGATATGACTATTAAAACAGACAATCCATTGGTAACCACTGATCTGGGGATCGAATCATTTACACAAATAAGGATTTAGCAGAAATCCAGTCAGTACAGTTACTGGGTAGTAACAGGGCAGGAAATCTCCATGAAAAGTAACCTCTAGTCGTTGGATAAAATGTTGAATATAAATACGTCACGCACTGCAAAACTGAAACTGTTTAATGTTCGTCGAAACTATATATTTTGAGTGATTGAGGATTATGATTAACTTTATTATTTAAGTCTACAGGTTTAAACGAATGAGTGTCTTTTTACATTAGAAAACATAATTAGTAAAACAAGATTATGATTATATAACGTCTAGTGGGTGGATATCGCTAGTTCTATGGTAACATTATGATACTTTTTAGTATTTTTCCTAATGCATTCCTTCTTAGTTATGCATAGGTGGTTTTGTCTGCTCATAGGAGAGGAGAAGGCTGTCTAGTGATTGTCACTCAGTCATCTGATTGATAGATACGAAGAAGTTACTTGGAGTCACTACAAGACCATGCCTCTGAAGCAGTTCTTTACTTCAACTTCAGAATTCAAAAAAGGCTGATGACAAGTGAATGCAGTTCAGTTGCATGCAATTTTAAGAATTCAACTCCCGATATTATTTCGGCAGCTGACTATATGAGTATGAAATAAACCACTCAATCTCTGGTCTTCGAAAACAAACACTATTTTAATTTGTAGGCAGTGACAAAAACTCGGCTATATTTCAGTACTCTAAGAAAAACAAATGAAGCATAAAAAAGGAGGTAATTCAACATTGATTAGACACAGTTATAGGTAAGCTGCTTGGATAACAAATAGATTAGCTTATTCTTTAGAAATCATGTTTATTACGATGAAAAAATACCTCAAAAAGCTAAGACTGAAATGCTCACTGTTATAAGGATTGAAATCGTAATAATAATAATTATTATAATAGTGTGTAGTGCAAAGTACATGTGAGAAACCTAAGCTGTGGAGCAAAATAATTAGTAGCAAGAGATTGATCAGTTTCAATTAGCTAATATTTATCGGCTAAGTGAATGAAGATGATGTTAACAGAATATTTCTCATTTGAATGAGTCCTCTTTTCTACTAATCTGTTTTTTGTCTTATTCTGGATGTGGCTGTATGGACTGGAGATACTTTCCAGTGACTTCAATGTATCAACACTTAATTGTGGAAATAACTGCTACCAAGTAAGTTATGCACAAAACAGTTTTGTATTATTATTATTGTTTCCTTTAATTCCTGAAGGAACATAGAACTTCAACCGCACGTCTCCATTGCGTTCGGTTCTCCAGCAACGTTTTCACCTGGCTCAACATCTGCCCACATGCTTTCATCTCCTCTTCGCATTACCCACTCCATGTCACACTCACACTGACGACCAACTCGCCGCTTCCCATTCTGGTTCCACTCGAGCAATCACCTGGAGTGTGATGTCACTTGATGGTTTGTTTTCTCAGAGTATGGTCAGTCCACCTCCATTTATTCCTGCATATCTGTTGCACAGTTGTTTCCTAGTTGGTTCGCTCCCAGAGATCCCCGTTGCTGATCTTTTCTGGCCATCTAATATTGACCATTGAAAGAAGACAGCCGTTGGTGAAAGTCTGTAGTTTGTTCGAAGTGCCCTTCGTGACGCACCAAGTCTACTTTCAAACAGTTTTGTAGTATAAGAAGTCTAATTGTCAAAAATAAAAGCACAATAGAACTTATCCTACGTACTTAGTTCAGTTGTACATTATCATCATGATTCAAATACACTTGTATCAGTTAACTGCTTACTAAGGCCTTCATTAAAATGCATGCAAGATGACAGTAGAGAAGTGTGGAGGGTGGGGGACGGAGAATCAACCTCTAGTCTACTCATGTTTTTATAAGATTAAATATGCACAATACTTTCCAATTTTCGATGGAGTCAGCTGTTTTTAATTACTCATGCTTCACTTATATGTATATATATTTATATGATATAAAATGATTGCATCGTATATAAATAAGACAGTTACGATAAACATTTATGGTCCTAAAAATATTTCTATCAGTCCTAAAGCGTCTGTGACAAAACAAACATTTTTCAGTTTTCACTAGATACATTTAACTCCTACATCTCTACAGAATTTAATCCGGATAAATTCTCGTGATACATGTAAACAAGGTTAAAGGTTTACTGTCTATCCTTTTTGTACTCCTTTCCTGTACGTCGTAGCGTTGATAAATGTTTGCAGTTAGTTATATCATTCTTCGGGTTTGTATTTTTCTGTTAGCCTTATAATTATGTCTGTTGGTTAAACTATTTGAACAATAATCAGTCAAGGTGGTAGAAAACCTGGGTGTTTTCCCCTTGACGAAACTTGGACTATCCTACTTAGCGGAGAGTTTTACCTATTGAATGTCAAACTTGCTAAAATATGAACAAGAATAGTACATTTAATTTAATTTTAGATTTTCCTGTCGATTGACTGGACCGAAGTGCTTGGTCTCAGGTTGACATGTCGGCTCCTTGTACAGATGCTTCGACGATGTCTGGGCACGTACTTAGAATTTAATTGGTGGATGGTGACTAGCAGTGGAATCCAGTATGCACATTTCGTCATATTTGGGACTCGTCATCTGGATGTACCTGCATTCCGCAGTGAGTGGTGACGTTCCGAAGCTCGAGCCCAGTACGCATAGTTTCAAAAGCCAAAGCGCTATCCGCTAATCCAATTGGGCCACGAGATTCACTTCTTGTGCAACGGGTCATATTAATCATTTAATTTAATTTCAGACTTTCTTTTTGGTTATCACCTCCTGTAGAAGTTATGCAATGAATCAGTTTTATGATTTGTTTCGAGATATTGGTTTTCCAATGGGTAAGTGAATTGAGTTAAATAGTTAATGTAACCCGTTGCACAAGAGGTGGATCTCATGGCCCAATTGGATTAGTGGATAACGCTTTGGCTTTTCAAACTATGGGCACTGGGTTCGAGCCTAGGTGGGAACATCACCACTCATTGCGGAATGCAGGTACATCCAGATGACAAGCCCCACATATGACGAAATGTGCATCCTGGAATCCACTGCTAGTCACCATCCACCAACTAAGAATAGTACACATCAACTATCTGTACACTTACATTTATAGCAGCCTCGGTTTATTATACCTTCAGGCTGAATGTTACCGGCCTGGTATTTCTTTTATATTCTAAATTAAGACAGTTGCTTATTTCTAGTATGACACTGTTGACAAGCTAAAGAGTATCTTACTGGAGTCATTTGTTTCTTTAAAAAGAAGACCGATCTTCATTGCATATTTGAGTTAGAATGTCAGAATATATTCAATCCCCGTGACTGGTAGTCATATAGTAATCAACCAATACGATGAATAGGTGCTAACCGAAATTAGTCGATAAAGTGTGCGATGCGGTGAGTTTTCATAATCAGAACCACTACTAGAGCTGCTTTGCGTCGGTGGCATAGCGGTTAGGACGCTCGCCGACCATGCACATGGTCCGGGGTTCGATCCCCGGCAGACGCACTCCTTTACCTCGCTAAGCCAGAACTAAAAGCTGGTGAAGAGGAAGGGTTTGGCATGAGGCTAGCAACCCTATCCTGTAAAAATAGTCACTGCTACAGAAACTTCAAGCCTCTAGCTTGAAGCCCTATGTTCCACTGGGGAACGTGAAGGAATAAAAAAAAACTAAAGCTACTTAAACCTGCAGAGCTGGATATAAATTTCTGGTGATATTGATGAATACAGTTAGGAGGTGTAACACTCATCACTTAAATTTCTCAGTACCCGATAGAGAATAAAGTAACCAAACTCATAACTTTCAATTTCGTTCAGTTTTATAACCACTGAGCTGCTCAGCTCTGACACGTCAGCTTCAGTTTATCAGACTTATATTTATATAAATATAAATGCTTTCACTTACCCATTGGAAAACCAATATCTCGAAACAAATCATAAAACTGATTCACTGTATAATTTCTACGGGAGGTAATAACCATAGGGAAATTCGATCGCCATAACCTTGGTTCGGGCAGTAGAAATGAAACTGATGTAAGCGTTCGTAAGAGTGGTCGGTTAAGAATTGGATGGTGTATGAAGATATTGTAGTTAGTGCCTAAATGTCAAGTCGTAAATGAAAAAAAAGTGAGAGGAGGCAATTTTTATTATTTTAAGCCCTTATAAAATTTCTTCAATCCATTAAATATGTTTTACAATACAACCAACCAGTAAACAGTATGCATACATACATACATCTATGTGTATAATCACTTCTTTTGTGGACAAAGTTGGCCTAGGAATAAACTGCATCATAAAATGGAATCAACTGGTGGCAATATAGGATAGGTCTTCGTTCTCGATGTCGAGCCTCGCCAGCACTTACTTCTTTACAAATGACTATTTCTGAGGTAGAAAGTTTGTCATGAAGACTTTTTTTGCATTTAATACTTTGCTTTAGACTTTTAAGCTGCAATTGAGTACTTTTTGAATACAGAAGTAGAGTGGAACTGTTGTAGAAAACTTGAATGAACTGTAAATAAGCTGAATACATCGAGACTGCAAACTACCGATCCGAAGTTAACGTATGCACTGTAAGTAATGCATGTTATCTATCAAAAATTGTTATTTCAGCTGTTTACCTTCCCTTATGTTGCTTGAAAAAACAGAAATACATATGCTAGAGAACCATTGGAAAACCAGCTGGGAGTATTGGACAGTTGTTTCATCAGCCTAGTTTGGGGCTCTTCATCAGTACGCACCCACCACAGGGGTTCGAACCCAGGACCTTCTGGTCACAAGGCTAGCGAGCTAGCTCGTAGACCATTAAGCCACTGGGACCCAATCCAATGGCCACTGCATGAATTCTGACTTCTGCCAATTCACGGTACAGCGCAACCGCTAGCCAATGTCTTCGGCGAGTATTTTTCCTCACACCCGACCCGCTGCACCCTACTGGTCAGCTCATGATGAAAATCCTGTAACCAATCAAATCCCTACAAACCAACACTTGAATAGAAATACATATGATCATCTGCTCTTATCAGCATTGAAAATGACATTTTGGATGTTTTCGCCAGAAGGGTGTGATAACCATCACAGAAGAAATCAGTAATAAACAGTAAACTGTTAGTGCCAGCTACTGTACGACTAAACATTGCCCAGTGTACTTCTCGATAGTAAGCCAGGAAAAGAGCGAAGGTAGGTTATGAAGCTAACGACTCTACACCGTAAGAAAAAACACTATCGATATTGGAAATTCAAACTCATGAAGGCCCGTATCCCGGTCAGATCTCAAGGAATGAGAAAAACGTTGAGAAAATTTTTTTCAAGGTACTTCCATTGGATAAAAAAGTCTGTGAGCTAAATTCCACAGGACAACTATTTCCATCAGGATGTAAAGTGATCAGCAGCATAGCATTTTAAACCTTGTGGTCATTTTCAAAGGCGTGTAATACTGAGTAGATCAGGTTAATAAAGAATATTATTTAATATTTTCTGGTTTTTAGATTCACTAGTCTGGTGATATTGTGGCGTGTGCTACTGAAAAAATTTATCAGTAGTATATAAAGAGACATTCATTGCCATAAAAATATCAAATAGCGGAGAGACAGATTCAACGTCGAACAGAGCAAATGATGCAGCTTTGTGGCAGGACGTGAGAGACATAAAAAGAAGGTAAAGAATCACAATACAAAGGACAGAAGTAGCAAAACATTGGAAATCTGTGCAAGCGAAGATTTTAAGATAAGATATACATAGAGATACCAGATCCAAGATAAACACTCTGTTACCAGGTCTCTTGACTTCTACCGGTACAATACTAGTCTCCAGCAAAAACTATATTTCAGGCAAATACAACCTTGATATGATAACTTCATTGTGAAATGAAATAATTTGAAAAAAGCTCAAAGTTAAAGTATATTCGGCGGTTTCTGGTTTTCGTGTTAAAATATTTCATATTCCCTCCCCCGTTGAATACGTAACGTGCTGCGGAGCAGTAAACCTGCTTGGTCAACATATTCAAATGTCTTGTTTTCTGTCATATCAGATGATTATTTGCAAAACACTGTATACCAGATGGTGTTGATAAATGTTCACAGTAAACTAGACTTCTTTCTTAGCTTAATTCTACAAGGGGGGGGGGGGGAGCGCACAAACTGATTTTGAAGCGAGACTTGTTTAACTTAGATGGTTCCCCACCGATCGAATAGAAAAGGAGTGTATGGATTTCAGTAGAATCTTTTGCCAACAAACTGCTTTAAAAGCGGGATCTGGAAAGCACGACAGACTTTCCCCACTGTGAAATCAGTGTGGAAATCTGCTGCACTCAGTATGCGAAATAAGATTCATATTTTCAGTGCTAACTTGAGATGTCACGAAAAACATTTCTAACCTGTCTCTGAAGAATTTCATCAGTAGCTGCCTTCACTGGTTACTGGATATCAGATGGTCGGCCGAAAAGGTTAAGCAAGCACCAAGACACTCTGATAACTAACCAGCCAAGAAGCTTTTTGCCCAACAAATAGGCCGAAGAAAATGGAGATGAACGGAACACATGGAGATTAAGTTGTCCCATTGTAGTACTCATTCTTACCTTGAAGGATAACATCTTTATGACGGAGGTTGCAAGTAACGCCGCTGTATCATATATTCAGTCTCATTTCGCCAGTAATTCTTCTATAGCCTTCTACTGTCTAAGAGTCATTAAAATTTTAAGACTAACCGTTTTATAATATACATCATACGTTATCGAATTTAATTTATTCTCTAAGTAAATAAAAGCAATGTTTTCCTATTCCTAAATATTATAGCTGTTTATATGCACTGCAGTTGCATATATATATATATATATATATATATATATATATATATATAGAGAGAGAGAGTCGATTTCAGTGTTTACAAACTGTTACTATTTTAAATAAACAGTGAGCATAATCGTATCACCAAGTTGTATAACAGTGAACAAGTACTTATGCTGTGTTGTTATATGTATATAGCAATTTATAACAATTAAATTATCCTTACTTAGTGGATTAAAATAAAAACAAGATGAGAGGAGTGTAAACACTCCAGATGAAGTGAAGAAATAAATTTTTAATGAAAGATAAATAATTAAAAAAACTTAACTGTCTGTGATGTGAGCATTACAGATACTTTCGATTAAATAGTATCCACGCTAACACAACCACTAGGCTTGAGTTGACTTCAGACTAATATATTATTATTATCATTCCTTGCATCCCGAGTGTAACATAAGGGTTCAGAGGCACCTTTCATTGCACTCAGTTCTTTGCAGTCGCTTTTAAATGATTTCACAACTGCCTTACACGCTCTCCTTCATGTCATTCACGATCTCCCGACTTGCGAATTCCTGTTTAAACTCCCCTCGAAGGTATGCCTAAAGTGTGATATTATCACTAAATGATATTACTAGTGTACATCCGATTCATCTTCTCATTTCTTTTTGCATATTTGTTGGACGGCACATCAGTGACTGGTTTGTTTCCAGAGTTCCTTGTTGTTTAACTTCTGATCTTCAGTATCTAACGAAGGCAGCTATTGACGAAGGTCTACAGTTGTCAGTCAGAAATGCTGTTAATGATGCGCATACCAAGTCTTTGAACTATATACACAATGTACAGTACATGCATTTCAAGAGCTTTGTTCCAATCCAGTATAAAAAGACCTTAGTCAGAATACTGTTCAATAGAGTGTGTTTGTGGAAGCAAATACATATGTGGTACGGAAACGCGATTGTCTACTCGTATGATGAGGCATTTGCCAAAATGGTTGAAAACAGCTGAGTGCAAAGTGCCAAAATCATCAATAACAAAGCATCTTGTGGATTACGGACATGATATCGACGCGGTCAAGTCATTCACTATTGTCAGCAGATAAAGAAACAAGAAGATGCTTGCAATTGCAGAGGCTTGTGCGATTCGAGTTTATAAACCAGGTCTCTGTGTACAAAAGGAGATGATCGTGACTCTGAATCTACCATGGTAATACGTTTTACTTATAATTCTACCTATTATTATTATTATTATTGTCATTATTATTATTCTTGATTCATTTAAAACTATCCTTTATCAGTAGGATTATCTTAACTCATTTCAACACTATTATTATTATTGTTATAACTATTACTATTGATATTGTTTGCAATTCTTGTTATATTCTCTAATGTCTAATTGTTTATCTAAGTGATGTAATTGAAGCGTAATGCAATTTATCTTAATTTTGATCTCTCATACTCTCTCTCCCCTTATCTATTTGAACATGACCCGGAAAAACATTCGCACCTGTGTTTCTGCATGACTAATTCAATGTAGTTTGTTTACTTATCAGTCCTATATCTCCCAATGTAATTTCAAAAGTATATATATCCATGTATGTAGAGTATTCAGCTGACGAGTTCTACCGAAATTTGATGAATTCATTAAATCCTGCTTTATTAACCTTTATTGCTTGTTTTAAATTCGTATGGGGAAATAAATGTTTTCTATACACAAGTGCTGACTTGACATTTAAGTTAAAAATGTGGACCTTATTTCTGTGTGCTGAATGCTGTCGACCTCTACGTCGATCACAGATTAATAAATGCTTGGCACAATTCCCTTCTCCTTACCACCTGATTGTAGCAGCCAACTTCCTTTGGATTTATGCCATTCTTTGTTACTGGTGTTGATTATTGTTGGTTGGGCACCTTCATCTTCCTTATGTTCACCCAGAGGCCTTTACTGTCAAATATATACTTATTTATATTAACTTGTTACTGGACAGCGACCATTTTAGTTATGCAAGCCCTGAATATCGCGATGAATTTAATTCATAAGTGTACAGCGTAACCCATACACCCGAGTGTGATATTAGGCATCAGGTGGCAACTAAGTAAAGGTGCTTCTGTTCACACGTGTGTATATATCCGCTTTGATTTAAAGACAAAACTTGGGTTAATCCGCCAAAACTGAGTATTAAACTTTTCGGCAAATAACAGCGCGACATATATATATATATATATATATATATATAATATTTTGTTTCCTTAAAAGTAAGCAATCGCTTCAATTACTACTTTTCATATTCAAAAGATTTATGGCTAATGGTAACAGC